TTTTTTGCGGTCGTATAAAAATCTAAATACACGGTTAGATTTGGCATATCAAAGAACCCCAATAATTCAATTTTTGATGAAATCAAACAAAGTTTAATTTTGGACCCTTTTGACCTCAATATGAACCAATTTGATAGCGGGTCCACAAATAAAAAATCTAAATACATGGTTAGATTCAGCATATCAAAGAACCTCAAGAATTCAATTTTTGATGAAATCAAACAAAGTTTAATTTTGGACCCTTTTGACCTCAATGTGGGCAAAGTTGATAACGGGGCCCAAAAATCAAAAATCTAAATACATGGTTAGATTCAGCATATCAAAGAACCCCATATATTCAATTTTTGTTGAAATCAAACAAAGTTTAATTTTGGACCCCGATTTGGACCAACTTGAAAACTGGGCCCATAATCAAAAATCTAAATACATGTTTAGATTCAGCATATCAAAGTACCCTAAAAATTCAATTTTTGTTAAAATCAAACTAAGTTTAATTTTGGACCCTTTTGACCTTAATGTAGACCAATTTGAAAACAGAACCAAAAATTAAGAATCTAAATACACGGTTAGATTCGGCATATCAAACAACCCCAATAATTCAATTTTTGATGAAATCAAACAAAGTTTAATTTTGGACCCTTTGGACCTCAATGTGGACCAATTTAAAAACGGGGCCCAAAATCCAAAAACTTAATACACGGTTAGATTCAGCATATTAAAGAACCCCAAGAATTCAAGAATAAAACCCCATTGAAATTGATCAAGAAATAAGCAATTTATACGAAGTATCTTCTTTTGCACAATACTGTGCAATTGAATATTTCTTGCTATTGTGCAATACTGTACAATTGACAATTTCTTGCTATTGCGCAATATTGTGCTATTGGATATTTCTTGCTATTGCGCAATACTGTGCAATTGAAGATTTCTTGCTATTGCGCAATACTGTGCAATTGAAAATTTCTTGCAATTGTGCAATACTGTGCGATTGAAAATTTCTTGCTATTGCACGATACTTATTATATAATAATTTACACATCCTGTTTGGTGTGTATCTCCTACCATATCATTATTATTTGCTTTTAAATATTAATCAGAAATAACCAACTTAAAATGGAAAATTTTAAAAGGAAAAAAAAAGGAAAAAAAGAAAAAAAAAGAAAAAAAAAATCCCCCCCCAAATTTTTTGAACCCCCTTATGATTCATCACCCCCAAACTCAATCCCAGCCTTCCCTTTGTGGTATGGTACCTTGCAGTACAATTTCAGAGAGATCCATACACTTGAACACAAGTTATTGTCTGGAAACTAGAAAAATGCTTATTTTTGGCCCCTTTTTGGCCCCCAATTCCTAAACGTTTAAAGCAATTACCCCCAAACTCAATTCCAGCTTTCCCTTTGTGATATGGAACCTTGTAGTACAATTTCAGAAATATCCAAACACTTACACACAAGTTATTGTCATGAAACTAGAAAAATGCTTGTTTTTTGCCCCTTTTTTGGCCCCTAATTCCTAAAATTTTGAGGCAATTACCCCCAAAATCAATTACAGCCTTCCCTTTGTGATATGGAACCTTGTGGTACAATGTCAGAGAGATCCATACACTTACACACAAGTTATTGTCTGGAAGTTACAAAAATGCTTATATTTGGCCCCTTTTTGGCCCCTAATTCCTTAACTGTTGGTACCATAACCCCCAAAATCAATCCCCACCTTCCTTTCGTGGTATTGAACCTTATGGTAAAATTTCATGGAGATCCATTCACTTAAACTAAATTTAGAGTGCGAAAACCAATGTGTCTTCGGACGACGACGACGACGCCAACGTCATACCAATGTACGACCAAAAAATTTTCAATTTTTGCGGTCGTATAAAAATCTAAATACATGTTTAGATTCAGCATATCAAAGAACCCTAAAAATTCAATTTTTGTTAAAATCAAACTAAGTTTAATTTTGGACCCTTTGGACCTTAATGTAGACCAATTTGAAAACGGAACCAAAAATTAAGAATCTAAATACACGGTTAGATTGGGCATATCAAACAACCCCAATAATTCAATTCTTGATGAAATCAAACAAAGTTAAATTTTGGACCCTTTGGACCTCAATGTGGACCAATTAAAAAACGGGTCCCAAAATCCAAAAACTTAATACACAGTTAGATTCAGCATATTAAAGAACCCCAAGAATTCAAGAATAAAACCCCATTGAAATTGATCAAGAAATAAGCAATTTATATGAAGTATCTTCTTTTACACAATACTGTGCAATTGAATATTTCTTGCTATTGCGCAATACTGTACAATTGACAATTTCTTGCTATTGCGCAATATTGTGCTATTGGATATTTCTTGCTATTGCGCAATACTGTGCAATTGAAGATTTCTTGCTATTGCGCAATACTGTGCAATTGAAGATTTCTTGCTATTGTGCAATACTGTGCTATTGAAAATTTCTTGCTATTGCACAATACTTATTATATAATAATTTACACATCCTGTTTGGTGTGTATCTCCTACCATATCATTATTATTTGCTTTTAAATATAAATCAGAAATAACCAACTTAAAATGGAAAATTTTAAAAGAAAAAAAAAAGGAAAAAAAGAAAAGAAAAACCCCCCCCCCCCACATTTTTTGAACCCCCTTATGATTCATCACCCCCAAACTCAATCCCAGCCTTCCCTTTGTGGTATGGTACCTTGCAGTACAATTTCAGAGAGATCCATACACTTGAACACAAGTTATTGTCTGGAAACTAGAAAAATGCTTATTTTTGGCCCCTTTTTGGCCCCCAATTCCTAAACGTTTAAAGCAATTACCCCCAAACTCAATTCCAGCTTTCCCTTTGTGATATGGAACCTTGTAGTACAATTTCAGATATATCCAAACACTTACACACAAGTTATTGTCATGAAACTAGAAAAATGCTTGTTTTTTGCCCCTTTTTTGGCCCCTTATTCCTAAAATTTGGAGGCAATTACCCCCAAAATCAATTACAGCCTTCCCTTTGTGATATGGAACCTTGTGGTACAATGTCAGAGAGATCCATACACTTACACACAAGTTATTGTCTGGAAGTTACAAAAATGCTTATTTTTGGCCCCTTTTTGGCCCCTAATTCCTTAACTGTTGGTACCATAACCCCCAAACTCAATCCCAGCCTTCCCTTTGTGGTATGGTACCTTGCAGTACAATTTCAGAGAGATCCATACACTTGAACACAAGTTATTGTCTGGAAACTAGAAAAATGCTTATTTTTGGCCCCTTTTTGGCCCCCAATTCCTAAACGTTTAAAGCAATTACCCCCAAACTCAATTCCAGCTTTTCCTTTGTGATATGGAACCTTGTAGTACAATTTCAGATATATCCAAACACTTACACACAAGTTATTGTCATGAAACTAGAAAAATGCTTGTTTTTTGCCCCTTTTTTGGCCCCTTATTCCTAAAATTTGGAGGCAATTACCCCCAAAATCAATTACAGCCTCCCCTTTGTGATATGGAACCTTGTGGTACAATGTCAGAGAGATCCATACACTTACACACAAGTTATTGTCTGGAAGTTACAAAAATGCTTATTTTTGGCCCCTTTTTGGCCCCTAATTCCTTAACTGTTGGTACCATAACCCCCAAAATCAATCCCAGCCTTCCTTTCGTGGTATTGAACCGTATGGTAAAATTTCATGGAGATCCATTCTCTTAAACTAAAGTTAGAGTGCGAAAACCAATGTGTCTTCAGATGACGCCGGACGACGACGACGACGCCAACGTCATACCAATATACGACCAAAAAATTTTTAATTTTTGCGGTCGTATAAAAATATATGTATGCATAAAACCGAAAAAATTATTACGGAGATGGAGTTAAGGACAATTCCAGGAAAAAATATAAGGATGGGTTTGATGGTACTTAAATCATTTATGCACTTGTGGGGGCAGTTTTAATACAAAATTCAAATTGTTTCAGTGTTCAGGAAAGTCTAGCGCCATGTGCAAATTGGGCATTTTGACAAAAAATAGTGCATAGAGTGACAAATGTCAGCCCCATGTGGTGCACAATATTTTTGCTTCTTATCTTAACGTTTAGATATCATAAAATGTATTTCTGATAGTGTTTTGTGTTGCCATATTTGTGTACAAAACGGTGTTGTGTTTCGTTCCAATGACAGGAGCACCACAAACATTTTGGGCCGTCTCTGGTGTTTTGCTTCATGTTAACGATAGCAACATGCGATATATATGATTACGGGGAAAATGTTATTAACCATGATCGAAATTTTCAAAGTAAACAACTTTAATTCTGTAAAAGTTGGCTAATACAGACGAGAAATTTGGGATGTTATTTTAATTAGATTTTATGAATTTGTGGTTAGAATTGTAACATTGTGTTTTTTAAGAGTGGATTCTCATTAAATTGTGGTTTGAGTTATTTCCCTTTCAACAGAAATGTCAATATGGAGGAAATTGTTTTTAAGTACATGTGGAAACTATTTAAATTACTGTTGAAGTGGATTGATATATATATATATATTTGAATGAGAATGCTGATAATTTGATAATTTTGGTGATGCATCTTTTTCCCTATTTAATGTGAAGAAGACAATTGATGTGATGTTATGGAGGAGGTAATTTGTCATTGTTAATTAGTTTTATATCTATGACTTTTGATTGTTAGAATGTTATTTTGAATTATTTATTCAATACATTTGTATGGACCACAATTCTAAATATACTGTTTGATTATGCATATCAAAGAACCCCAATATTTCAAGATTTTTTAAACTTCATTGAAATTGATCAGAAATAAACAATTCAAAAAAATTGCTTGTTTTTTACCCCTTTTTGGCCCCTAATTCCTAAGCAAATATGGCCATAACCCCCAAATATAGTGGCAAATTTTTGCTGTCATATAAAAATTTCTCAGGACAAAAAAACACTAACAAGGTTATACAACCTATACGAAATTCATCTAGTATAGTTATATGCAAATGCTTACCCCATCATCATGGCCGAATAAATCTGAATGGCTGAAATAGAAAAAAAATTATTAAGGAACAAGTCCGAACAACATACAATTTAAAGGTGTATTATATGGTTTTTTATTTACAGCAATTTTATTAATACAAGTGTACTAAAAAGCAATTAAAAAACTTTTGAATTTCCAAAAAGGCTTTATTCTGTTATCATATGTCTAGTAATTTAATTAAAAGGCTTAATAATGTGAATGTCTTTGGCTTAAACTATGCTCATTTTTGTAATTTATAAACAGAGACAGTGTGCTTTAACAGAATCATGTGAAATTTTGAAGTAAAAATGAAAATGACTATTACAAAACTTTACATGTATATATTATTAAATATTACCTCAATATTTGCAAGAATGACTGATATTGAAGGTAAAAGCTGTTATTTTGTGATTTTAAGTTCACGGGTCATTATTATGACAAGAGAAGAGTATATGCAACAAACTTTTCAACTAAAAACCTCAGGAATTATTAGTGGTGAAACGATTCACCAAAGAATAGATGATCCCCGATATTTTTGCTTGGTTCAATTTTCAATTCATTTTTTCCGTTTATTTCACTTCGGTTCCGGTCGGGATAAATTCCTAGTGTCATAATGTTCAATCTGCCAATCAAAACTGGTGTTACTTGTACATATTGTTTCAAATTGAACGTCTCTATGAAAATGGCTGGCATGGCTGTTGAAAGTTGGTTAAATAAATATTTAAAATCTTTATGTATTTTAGCTGCACTAAAGGAACACCAGGTTTACTTAACAAAAAAAAACCAAGAACATTCAACAAAGGTAGTTCACTTTGCTATTTAGACTACACGTGTACATGTATTTATTCAAGGTTGGGTATTGATTATGTATGGTATCGTCACCATTGTATCATGATATGTATTGTATCATTAGGTATGTGTATCGTTCAGCGGTCGTGGTAGAATTTTTTTTTTAGTGAAAAAAATGCAGACCACCAAAAAATGGTGAACAACTGATTATTTTAATTTTTGAAAAGAACACACAAACAACAAAGTGTTAAAAATTGTTAAAACTGTTAATATATAAAATAGGATTGAGTGTACACAATCTTGCTATAGAAAAAGGGTGACATTAAGGTTTACCCACCTATGAATGAGTTTGTAATGTATGTAAATTAGGTGAGGTAGAAGATGAAAATCACTTTTTACTGAATTGTGAAAAATTTTCTAACTACAGAATAAACTTAAAAACTATTATATTAAATATACTTCCTACAAGTTGTAGTGAGAATCAGATAAATATGAAATGTTGCATTAATAGCAATTCTTTGAGAGTCCTGAAAGTGACTACTTCTTACATACGTAAATGTCTGGTATATAGAAATGAGATTTTACCTTCTTAATTATAACATATTATTTCATTATGCTGTATTCATTGTTAAAATGTACTGAAATATGGGCCTTTGCCAATTATTGTAATTGTGTTTGTGCCAATAAAATATTTATTTGTATTTGTATATTAATAATATATATTCATCTAAATTAGCTCAGTTTTCATATTGGAATCTACGATCAAAAGTTAGATTCGTCTTTGTTAAATTCTTGTCTCCATTTTTCATTGAAAGTGTAGTCACGATTTTTACTTTTTTTTGCCGGCAGTTCATTATTTTCATCATTTTCATTTTGAGAAATTCCCTGTACTTCACTTTGTCTATTTTTAGCTGAGTTCATAAAATCAAACAATGACCTGTGTGTTGACTTTGGGTTTGAAGCCATCATGGCTGGAATAAAACAGAAGTAAAAGATCTTAAATTGACGTAAATTTGACGTTTTGACGGAAAGGACATGCTTAAGAAACGGAGAATGTAAGAAAAACAAAGTCAATGATGCCTTTATAGTTTAATTTTTTTGCGTGGAAATAACGCAGGACTTGATTTTGCTTATTTTTTTTAAATTGTGCGTGAGAAACGCATAATTTTGCGTTGACACGACCGCTGATCGTTACAGCCTTAGGAATGATTGTGACCAAGTTTGATCGTAAAACATTTTTTCGGAATCTAATGAATTCTGGGAAATATTTTCAAAAGCATACACCAAAATGTTGATAGGAAAATGTGTCCTAAATAATGGAAATTTACCCAATTATGTTACATTACTTTCATTTTGGGGTATAAACAATGAAAATATCCATGGTACTTTATCTGAAACAGCGAATTGGCCAAGTGGTTTCATAGGTAAAGCTTTTCCTAATTTACAACAATAAAGGCAAGGAATGGCAAATTGTAATGAAATATATCACATTTTTTTATGACCTACCTGAATTCATCTATGAATGAACCATCACCCATGTCCATTCAAACTAAAATAAAAGAATTAAATCAATATATCTTCTATTATTCGATGTAATAAAATGATGCAGTCATCACTACCTACAAAAGAACTGATATGAAATAAAGAATACTGACTCATTTTAACAAGATTATAGATTGTCTTGTTCAGATTAAAGGTTAAGTTATTGTGCCCTAATTTTTCAAAGAGTTGTAGATCTATTGCTAGGAACCTTTATGAAAAGATAAGATATTTTTTGGTTTTAAGATTGATTGGTTTTTGGTGTTTAATGCCACTTTCAGCACACTTGGCTATATCGCTGCAGCCAAATTTTCATGGTGGCGGAAGCAATGGTATGCTGAGATATTTGTCACATTCAAATGCATTTCTCTCATTTGTCCCATCTCTCATTTACAGCTTCTTCCCATGAACTTGTTTATAAGTGTAATTTCTATTTATTCCTGAACTGTATTATAATAGTAAATAACTGTATTTCTAAAAATGCATGCATCATTTATGGTCTACAGTATGAAAAGAACTGTTCCAATTCTGTTTAATTTTACTTCTGATGTATTGAAATGCATGACATTTTCTGACTACTATTTATAGGAGACCTCAGTGATTGTTACTTGAAATATAATTTTTTCAATGACAAATCTTTGTTCTACATAACATTTAAAGAATAAACAGTTCTGACAAACAATGTGCTGTGTATGACTTTAAAGTGAGCATTAAACTTGATGCTTACCCTAATAGTGACTGTGATTCTATGCAGAGTCTGTCTGGGGGTTTCATTTGGAAACTCTGATGTTAAGTCATACCTGTAAATAATAAAAACAAAATCTTCTTAATACAATAAAAGAACTTTATTTCCTAGTTGGACTTGCACACTAAATAATAATGATTAGATACATATGAAAACAAATAATTATTCAAACAGTAGAAGATTTGATCTACATGTACCATGCAAAGAGAGATAACTCTATTACAATATCTAGATGTTTTTAAACAATATGCAGTTACATACAATTTTTACGGTACCTGTGCCATTAAATATATATACAAGAAAGTAAAATTTATCTTTTTCATGTTTTTTATGAACTATTATCATAATTCTAACGGGAAAAAAAACCCTTTATACTTATATTCAGTAAAGAATTTATAATAGGCTTTATCATTAAATTATTCTTGAAAAGATATAGCCATTTGATTTTTTACAGTAAGGAAACAATACAGAAGTTCTGAGATAGTCCTTTTTTTGGGGTCCAATCACACAAAAGTTACATGATTTATATGTCATAAAGTTAAGTATAGTTGGGATCAATAATACCATTTTTGCATGAAATATTAACTTGGGGTTACTCTTACCTGACCATAGGTTTTAAGCAGGGTTAGGGGTCAAAATATTAAAGTGTGGTCAAATTTTTTAGATGGAAATCTGTTAAAATCATTCCATTTGCTTAGTCCATCTTTGTGAAAAACTAGACAGAATAACGTCATGTGATACAACTGTTTCAACAACCACCATCATGAAACTGCTGTATTATGGTGTTGTTCTTTTAAGATATTTTTTACTACAAACTTCTCAATGAACTAAATGTTAGGTGCATGTACTGGGACACAGAAGACACACTGCCACATGATTTAACTATCACAGAGGTTTGTGTACTAAGTAATTAGCACATGTAGTCATGGTAGTAGTGTACAGGTAAAGTAAAAGGTAACAAATGTAATTGTACATATAATTAGCTGACAGCTTGATAAAAGACAGATGTTATACATTAAAAAAACAATGTCAATATATATTTATGTGCATATTCAATGGTGGTCTTCACACCACAATCTATAACAAGGTTGTACCACAATAGAATTATCTAAGGATGTGGTCTGTTAAAACTTTCTGCTTTATAACCCTGAATGGATTTTTATCTACATATTATGACTTTGCACAAGTATTTATTGTGATTGGCCACATTTTTTATAGAGATTTTCCCTCTTATTTTGTCACATAGGATGATAGCTATAGGAATCCAGAGTGTCAAGGGTTTTCCTTCGTTGCCTTTTTTCGCACAACACAGAGATGAGAGGGTAAAAATATCTAAAACCAATTGACAGGAGAGCTTATTTCATTGTTTGTGAATATAATTCATATCATTTTTTGAAAGTAAAATAAATAATTATATTCATGTTTTACATTTTGCACTTCATTAGCATAATTTCTCGCAATAAAAATGCATAATGCATATAGAATTTCACTTATCGATACTATTTAAAACGGTTTCATGCATACAGTTGCTTAAAGGCTTTACTTGAAAATCTGTTCTTTATGAGTTCCACTTGTGTTACATTGTGGATATGAAGAAATCAGGTAAAGCACCATATCACCCGCTGCACGGACACAGGGGATTCCACTGTATATGATATATGTACCCAGAAGATGTATGTAATAAACTGCTTCGCTGAGTGCAACTGGATACACCCGCAGAGGTACAACCCTGAACAGTTGGGGCAAAAATGGACACAATATTCAAGCTTGATACAGGTCTGAATTTGGATTGTAATTAAATATTTGACATATTATAGGTTTCTGAATAAATGTAGTCAAAAAACTTGAAATTGGTTATATGAATTGAATTTATATTAGATTTCCGGCTGTTGTGCAATACACTATGCTGTTGCGCAATACTTAGTAAATCTGTTGTCAAGACTATAAACAAATAAAATTAAAAAAAATTCTAAAGGGAGCTTACATCAATAGATATAATCAATTCAAAAAAGTTTCATAAGAATTGCTGGAAGCATTTTTGAGTTATTGTCTGAAAACTGGAAAATCCCCCCTTTTTTAATGAATAAAACCCCATAACTCGGAAATGTAAAATCTAAAATTTATAAAATTCTAAAGGGAGCTTACATCAATAAATATCAACAATTCATCAAAGTTTCATGAGAACTGCTGAAAGTATTTTTGAGTTATTGTCCGAATACTGGAAAATCCCCCTTTTTTTTTTATGAATAAAACCCTGTTAACTTGGAAACGTAAAATCTAAAATTTATGAAAATCAAAAGGGAGCTCATGTCAATAGATATAAACAATTAACCAAAATTTCTTGCAAGTTGGTGAAAGCATTCTTGAGTTATTGTCCGAAAACTGGAAGATCTCCCTCTTTTTAATGAATAAAACCCCATAACTAGGAAATGTATAATCTAAAATTTATAAAAAAGGAAAGGGAGCTCACGTCAATAGATATAAACAATTCACCAAAGTTTTATGCAAATTGGTTAAAGCGTTTTTGAGTTAATGTCCGACATGTTGACGACGGACGGACAGATGGACGGACGGACAACGGTATACCATAATACGTCCCGTAAACGGGCGTATAAAAACTAGATTGGAATAACAGGAAATAGCCATTGTGACAGGGCGAGGAACCACAAACAACAAAACTATAGGATCCAAGCACAGCAAATACAAAATGAGAACATTTTAGTGATATGGAAATAACAAATTCTAAACTTTCCCTTTCTATGTAAACAGTTTGCTTATTGGGTACGGATGGGAATTTTTTAAAGGAAACTATTGAACAGATACTGTAGCTGCACTCATCCTGGAATAGTCAGGAACACCCAAGTTAAACCATACAGAAAAAACATTGCAACACTTCATAATATCTTATATATATATATATAGGCACAAACAACATTTTCCAAGTCTTAGTGTACTAGTTTTTGCACCTCGTGTTTGCGGTATACCATCTTTTCTGCAAGTTTTTTGTTTTCATTTTGGTATTAAATTAATAATTAAGAGCCATTTTGTTACATCTGGTGATCCGTTTATTTGGCAATCGCCATGGCAGTCAGCAGGGTTTAAGAACATCCGTTGTTCGACCTACTAGTCAAATGCGTTTTGTTAAAATATACTTTTTCACTTTTTTGGTCTTTTGGAAAATGTTGTTTGTGCTATATTTAGACCCCTCTACCAAGAAATTTGTTTTGCATGCACACGTATAAAAATTGCGGTTCTTATCTAACGCAATCATAGGTTTGAATGTTGTTTTCAATTTAAACTTGTTTATAAATATAGGCATATATAGGTCACACCGAATGTCTAAGTCTTGTTCGTTGGAATCGTTGTCCTGAATTTTTTAATTCTTTTATTATATTTTTATTTCACTTTGCCCAGTAAAAAAATTAGGATATTAAATTTTAAAAGAATATTTCCAGTGCGACTAAATTGAGATTTTTTAGTTGACGGTGTACAAATTGGACTCAAAATGATGAGTTTTATTTACAATGTCTATTTTCTTTCGGAAAATTTGAAAGTGCTGAGGCCAAACACTATACTTTGTATGCAGAATAAGGATACAATTGGTGTGTTGTCTGAAAAATTCCATGGAAAGATGAGACATTGTTGAAAGTTGAGGTTCAATGTTCAGCGTCAAAACAGGAAGTGGAGAAAGAAAGTCGTTGTTGCCACATCAGTGTCAAACGGGAAGCGGAGAAAGGAAGTCGTCATTGCCACGTCATAATTGCCCGATTCATTGAAAGTTTGCTGACCATTCCGATTGGCACAAGTTGAATCACAATATATTCGTCTTGGTATGGCCACACCAAAAAAGACCATGCATTGTTAATTGTTTCTTGTGGACTTTTTGTCATTTGGATATCTGTTTTAAGTATATGAGAATTTGGATCAAAACGGTGAACGCAGCTTATGATGTTCAAACAAATGACCGTAAACAAATTTCAGCAAGTGTACGAGGAATGGTAACATACTAGAACCATCTTTTTTAAAAAAATTTGGCTAAAAGAAATAAGATTCCTTGTCAGAAACTGTAAAATTTCATATAATGATTTTTCAAGACGCTAAATATAAATTGATATTCATCTTCTGGTTTTGTACCTTAAAAGTTACGGTCTGTTGATTTATTGCATGTTTTAAAAAATTGACAATGAAAAATAAATGATTTTTATCTGAAAGTTTTATATAAAATTTATATTATTGCTTTCAAACAAACATGTTGATCATTAAGTTAAATACTTATTGTATTGCTTAATGACAATGATAACTTGTTCCCTTTGACGACAGATTGTAGGCCATAATAATACAAATATTGCTGACGTGACAGTTATTCTTTCAGCAATGGATTCTTTAACTAATCGATTTTAACTAACTGCGTAGTTCAAAATTTTAATATGTCGTTTCTCTTTGAAGTGGTTTCACTGAAGATGTTTCGTCCAGGAAAATAGCTTTTGTCAGTTTATGTATGTTCAAAGTGAAGGACAAATGTCAAATATTTCGTTTTATCACGAAATTTATTTTCCCAAAACAAAATATTCCAGAACGGAGTCAAAATGAATCATCTCGTGGTGAAATATAAATTTTGTAAACATCTAGGACATGAAACCACCACCTTTGTCAAAGTCACGTCTGGTCAAATATATGATATTCGTGATCTGGTTCAAATAATAATGCATACTATCAACATGATTTCCTTGTCAAGATTATCACTTCAAAATATTTACTTCTTGACCTCATTCCGAACAATGCAATATCGCAATCAACAGATCACGACGTGACCAGTCTAGTAATCTACGCGTTTCTTGCATTAATTTCGTACATTTTGCATATTTTAATGACAAAGATTGGCCTAAATACAACTGATCCCCTAGACCCGACTAATTCCCTGCAAATTTTATCAGCAAAATAATATTCAGAGAACACTCACCGTCATGTAACATGCCTGTTACCTTCGGGGCTTACAATTGGTTGATCATGGTTTGATTTCAACTTTGAACTCATGAGCTCATCTTTCATTTCTTGTGGTTAATTTTTAAAATACACAATAATCTAAAGAAAGAAGTCAATTTAAAACATTGTTTTGTGTTATGCTATACATTTAATATGCTTAAATACTTGTTTTATCCCGAATTAAAGCGTAATTGGTGATAATTTTGGGGCGGTATTTCGTGGCTTAATTTGTGACGTAAATGCATGACCTTTGACACTGGAGCAAATGTATTGGTCGTTGTTAGTCATCCATTTATAGGAAAATTGCAGTTAAACCGCGCCCATAACATACTTACAAAGTGTTATTTCATGCCATTGATAATAGTAATTTAACAAAAACACATATTGACCCAATATATATTTCTCTTTATGCAGCATTTTATTACCGCTTTTTACTACACATATTGTACACATATATCTATGACGTAATACACACGGAAGTGTAAAGTAGCAGGTGCTCGTTTTCATTATAATAGTGATTTATTATTTAAACATTACTTTATAACTCTTTTCTATAATAAATGTGCCTGGTTTGAATCAAAACAACAATTTCTTTGGGCATTGTTAAAGTTTTGCAAGTTATGAAAATGAATGGAAAACAATCTTGATTTGTTCTAATTTTAGATATTTCAGTGTTTTGGCATGGTGTACATCAGATTTAGACTATTCTGTATGTGATTGATCGTAATGCATTGATCTGTAAGTTTGTCAATTCATGCATATCTCTGTTATAAATAAATAAATTTGTGAACACTAATGACTTGAAAGTATGTCTGAATGTAGGTATTAAAGAAAGTCACAGGACAACAGTTGAGGTATTTCCCTAAAAAGATCTTTTAAATCACTTTTATGTATTTTCTTACTATTTTTTATTACCTGAAATTTTTACTGGGAGTTGAGAAGGGATAAAGATCTGAGATCAAACATAAATTTCTGCACAAAAAAATGTAATTAACAATATAAAGTCTGAATATTTGATATGAACCTGGAGTTATCCCCCTTAGTATACTTGATGGCCTGACTCTCCCCCTTTAATTATTGAAAATTATTGATTGTTATATGTATTGATACTCATAACTATATTATATTGTCTGTATCTGTTACTTGATTGATATACTTGTAACGAGCCTCAATGAAAAAAATAGGAAACAAATATATTAGTATTTTAAAACAACTTTGAAAACAAAACATTTTTTTAAAAAAGTCTTTGTTATGAAAACAAATTGTGAAAATAGCTTATTAATTAACTGACTACAAGATGCCCAAGAAACACACATCCTTGCTTAAGGATAATGGACCCTTTTGTTGTTGCAATGCTAAACATTGAAATTTTATAAAAAAAAAATCCACAGCCTTTCCCCTAGCTAATGTACTATATTGGACAATTATGTGCTTAATAAATAGAGGATTATTGCATGTAATGCTAGCAATGATTTCCCTAAAAGAAGTATATAAATAAAGATATTGGTGAAAACAAGTATAAAAATGGGCTTATTCAAGTATACCTTCTAGGGTGTGCTCAACTTTAGTGACTCAGCACATGGTTTTGGGGTTGTGAAGGTTGCTTTGGACTTTTGTTTAGACAATAAACGCTAGCACATCATGTACAAACAAGTGAGTAATCTATGTTTACAATTTTAGAACGAAAATCTCTTTAATAAAAAGTCTGTGGGGTAATTTGCAAAAAGCAAAAATCTTGGCTTTATTTGCCTCCAAATCCCCATTTTCTATTAAATGCAATGAAACATTTAATGATTTAATCAATTGTAATTCTGATCCCGTTGTAATTGGGGACTTTTCTTTAAATATTCTTCTTTATGCAGATGATATTGTTTTATTGTCTGAAAGTAAAAAAGGACTACAAAACAGTCTTAATGCTTTATATGATTATTGTGACTGTTGGAAACTACAAGTTAACACAGATAAGTCCAAAGTTATTGTATTTAATTCAAATGGTAAAACTTTTTTGGACAAATTTACTTACAATGATTCTTGTATTGAAACTGTTAGTCATTACTCTTATTTAGGTATTGTAATAAAATGTAATGGTAATTTCAATTTAGCCATTAATACGTACTCTTATGGAAAAGGCAAGAAAAGCCTATTTCAAAATAAAGAAAACTGTTGGTCTGAATAATCCATGTAGACTACTTGAAAAACTGTTTGATACATTAATATCACCTATACTTATGTACTGTTGTGAAATTTGGGGTGTTTACTCATCCTTAAGGGACTCTGAACCCTTTGAAAACTACACATTAAATTTATCAAAGAAGCACTTGGTGTTCATTGCAAGGCTTCAAATGATGCTTGTCGTGCTGAGCTTGGTCGAATTCCACTCAAAAATAAAATTATATTTTCAAGCATAAATTTTTTAGAGCATATACTTTCATCAGAAAATACACTTGTAAATCAAATTTTCTGTGCAACAAGGTTGTCAAACCCCTGGATCAAAAAAACTAAATGCACTTTACAAAAATTAGGATATTCATATCTTGTAGAAAAAAGTTGTTTAACAAAGCAGCACTTGGGACAAGTAAAACAAAGAATTTATGATCAGTGCTTGCAAAATCAAAATGCAAACATACAGGAATCTTCTAAACTCAGTTTCTTTCGTCGAGTCTACAAAATGGGTCAAAGACCATCATATGTTGATTCACTAAACAATGTAAATGATAGAGCAGCAATATGCAAAATACGCATAAGTGCACATTCTTTAATGATTGAAAGGGGAAAACATCTTAACATTCCTAGAGAGGAAAGATACTGTCCTGTCTGCAAAAATGGGGAAATTGAGGATGAACAACATTTCTTATTACAATGTAATAGATTTACCTCAAAACGAGAAATATTAGAAAATAAAATAAATGTTATATTTAAAATACAGCGTAACATTACCACTGATGATAAAATATCTCTATTGGTTAACAATAGCTCAGCATTATTACTAAGACTGTCTTCCTCTTTCATATCAGAGTGTCTAAATATAAGAAATAGTGAACTAATATGAATCACCAATATGTAACTTTTCATTCTATAATGATATGTTATCATGTAACTTTTCATTCTACCATGTCAATTAATATAATTATATGTATGCAATAGGTCTTAACCATTTATTGTTAATGAGTTTGTGCCAATAAAATATTTGTATTTGTATTTAACAGTACTGTATTGCTTTGAACAAAGTTTCCCTTTGATATATGTGCAAAATGGCACGTCACTTTCATTCTGTATTTTACTGTTTTGATATTGTAGCACTTTTAAATTTCGTCATACACATGCAGGCCTACAGAAGGGGTCATAATTACCTTAATTTAAATTTGATCACCATGATCAATCTGTATTTAATGAAAAAATGCTAATGATTCTCACTTTTTGTCCTAAACAATTTTGTCCATCTACCATTTGATACCCCCAAATTTCATTAGCTCACCTGACCCGAAGGGTCAAGTGAGCTTTTCTCATCACTTGGCGTCCGTCGTCGTCGTTGTTGGCGTCGTCGTCGTCGTTAGCTTTTTACAAAAATCTTCTCCTCTGAAACCACTGGGCCAAATTTAACCAAACTTGGCCACAATCATCATTAGGGTATCTAGTTTAAAAATGTGTCCGATGACCCCGCCAACCAACCAAGATGGCCACCATGGCTAAAAATAGAACATAGGGGTAAAATGTAGATTTTGGCTTATATCTCTGAAACCAAAGCATTTAGAGTAAATCTGACATAGGGTAAAACTGATTATCAGGTCAAAATCTATCTGCCCTGAAATTTTCAGACAAATCTGACAACCTTTTGTTGGGTTGCTGCCCCTGAATTGGTAATTTTAAGGAAATTTTGCAGTTTTTGGTTATTATCTTGAATATTATTATAGATAGAGATAAACTGTAAAACAGCAATAATGTTCAGCGAAGTAAGATCTACAAATAAGTTGTCATGACCAAAATTGTCAGTCAACCCCTTTAGGAGTTATTGCCCTTAATAGTCAATTTTTAACAATTTTTCGTAAATTTTTGTAATCTTTTACAAAAAACTTCTTCTCTGAAACTACTGATACAAATTTAACCATACTTGGCCATAATCATTCTTAGGGTATCTAGTTTAAAAAATTTGTCCGATGACCCCGCCTTCCAACCATCATGGCCAACTTAGTTAAAAATAGAACATAGGGGTAAAATGCAGTTTTTGGTTTATATCTCTGAAACTAAAGCATTTAGAGCAAATCTGACAGGTGGCAAAAATGTTCATCAGATTTAGATTTATCTGCCCTGAAATTTTCAGACAAATCCGACGACCCGTTGTTGGGTTGCTGCCCCTGAGTTAGTAATTTTACAAAATTTTGCAGTTTTTTGTTATTATCTTAGATATCATTATAATATCTAATATCTAATACTATTAACTATGATTTTAACCTTATTTTACATGATTTCCAAAGCATCAGTAAATACAGGTGAGCGACACAGGCTCTTGAGAGCCTCTAGTTTTATTTGTCATGTCGTAACTCTATACAACAGACCTTCAGAAAATAGTGGAATTTTGGGTCTATCTTGTATATTCTGTTGCCTAGCAACCATTATAATGGTAGAGATAAACTCACTAAATATGCTTTAAATTTATAGCTTAAGTATACAGGTTATGTTCTCATATATTTTATGATGGTATGATACTAAACCCTTAACGGGAGGGATTGGGCTTGATTTTCATATGATTAAGATCTAATCTTTCAATAAGTTTAATTTAGGTCTGGAGCTGGCATGTCAGTAACTGCTAGTAGTCCTTTGTTAATTTATGTATCATTGTCATTTTGCTTAGTTTCTTCTGTTACCTATTCTGACATCGGACTCGGACTTCTTTCAAACTGAGTTTTACTGTACGTATTGCTGTGTGTTTTTTTATTCTACATTGGCTAGAGGTATAGGGGAGGGGTTGAGTTCTCACAAAACGTGTTTAACCCCACGGCATTTTTGCTCCTGTCCCAAGTCAGGAACCTTTGGCCTTTGT